ATTATTTAAAAAGTTAGTTTTATTTCTATTTTAAACATTTCATAAACGTCAAGATCCTTATCTTTGTTTGAACCAAAGTGATTATTCACAATATATGATTTTTAGTAAGGTATCCATAAAAACAAACGTTAGACACCATGTACTTCCCTAAATACCATTTAATAATAAAATCGTGTTATAAAGCATCTCGATATAAAACGAATAAATTTCTTAGAAAATCGTTTCTTGTTTCTCTTATCTCGACGATCAACAGAGTTAAGAAAATATGATATATAAAATTGACTAAAAATTCTTATCGAACAGACGAGTATTTATTCTACAACTATTTAATTATAGTTGATTCAAATACATAGCATTCATTAGAAAAAAAAATCTATCTATAATGATTTGAAACAATTAATATTCTGATCAATATTATTTGTTTTTCAAATGAAAATATTAATCTAATCAAATATAAGCTTACCATATTGTAAACATTCAATGAATCGTATTCCATATTTTCAATAAAAATAATCAAGGTTGTTAATTGTTTAAGACGACCATCAAGTAAAGCAAGACAATCTTCAAAATGTCTGACACGAATACATAATTTGTTAAGAGTTGACGAGAAGAACGTAGTTAAAGGTACGTTACTAAGTACCAAAGGTGGATAATAGTGTGGATATGATCCAATCATAGATAAATGTTTTAAATTTTCACAGTATTTCAAAATACACGCATACAAATCTGCCGTATAATCTTTTAGTGATGCTTTATAGGATTTGTTTTTGAATACAAGAATAAGATCTGTAATTTGTCGTGGAACAGTATATAGTAATCGTTTGTTATCTAAATAAAAAATAAATAGTTATTGACTAATCCATCTATACAATAGTTTAGAATCTAAATCTCTACACTGATCAATGAGTATGTTATTTACCTGTAAAATACAATGAAATAGTCAAGCTGTCAACATTAAAGAGTTTAACTTCAGTTAAATTAGGATATCGGGCAGCATAAAGAATGTCTTTCATAGAGAATGAACCAACAATAAGAGTTTTAACTTTGTGATTAATTCTTCCTAATATTGAAGTGCAGAATTGATCAACGCTTGGAATAACAGGCGTGTGAGTATGATTAAGTGATGTTGGTAATATAAAATTGAGAATACTAGCGAAATTATTTTCTTGTATTAAAGCGTCAAGTCGTCGATTATTTACAAGTAATAATGAATAAAGAACATACATATTATCGAGCTTTTTGAAAATCATAAGTAATATTTCATTAGGTAAATCAAGAAGACTAATATTATGTTGATTCATGTTGAATTTGACTAACGCTTTTCTTGTTATGTATATGTCAGCGTCCAAACTGAGATTACGTCCAATCTCAGATTGGCCTAGGCGAATGTCGGATCCAAGATTGGACGCGTCCAATCTCGGATTGACGCAATTCTGTTCATTAAA